TATTGCCAACCATCTTTCGGTTCGTTAACATATCTATATAAGCAGAAAGTTTAAAAGTCTAATGAAATATTTCTGGTAAACAATCTTCTTTCTCATTCAATTTCGCTACTTTCAACGACATTTTATGTAATATAGTGGACAGTTTTGGCTTGTAATGTGGATATCAGAATTATCACCTTTCGAGTTTTTTCAAATTTTCAACCGGGAAAAAGGGTTGAGAAAACTCAAGGCACACATATTCTTGACCTCCTTGAAATTCTCTATCGAATGGTGTATGGTATGTAAAAAAATAATTTTTTTACTGCATTTTTGCTTTACGTGCATCTTACTTCTCATACGAAACCACAACATGTACACGAATTATACTTAAGAGAAATGTCGTTGTAATACCGGGTTGTTTTATTATACCACAATAAACATGGTCTTTATTACCTATATTTGATGTAATTTCTAAACTTAAACAAAATTATTTGAAAATAAAATATTTCGATATTACATTATTACTGTATCAAATTCGTTATTTACAAAAAAAAATAGAAATAATTATATTGCCAAACACATAGTCGTACAGCGATAAAACTAATAATGATAGATCGTTTTTGCTTTCTCTTTTTTTAAACACGTATCTGACACTATTTTCAAAGATCTAGATTGAGATAGATGGTAGAGAAGAAACAAAAATAAATAAATAGATCTGATTACAATGTAAAATAAACAATACATTTTTTTGTCTTTAAATAGTATCTGACAAAATTAATTATATAACGTGTTTTTGCATACTGTAATAAAAATAAATAAGTACAAAAAAAACAAAAGTAACGAACATTCGTTCTAGAGTTTAAAAAGAGTTTTACTATAAATTGACAACTGCACGAAGAGTGAGATACTGTTTAACATTTAACAAGTTCACCAGAAACAATGTGTTGTCATTACAAACAGTAGAAAATGGACTTCTTTTCATTTCATCTAACAAATAATTTTGATCATCGTATTGCTAGCACTAAAGAAAGCACAAATTTTGAAGAAAAAAAAATTATACATCGTATTTACACATCAAAAAAAATTTTTAACAAAACTAACAAAAAAAAAATAATATCGAAACAAAACTGAAGTGGGATAGATAAACAACAGATACATAATAGTGAGCATTTTGTTTTTCTTATTGATTACTGGATTGTTTTTGTTTTAGCAAATACAAAAAAAAAGCAAAACGAAAGACGCAAGCGAATAAATAAACAAAAGCCAAAAGATCTATTTAAGAAATTTATAATGAAAGCTCAATAATCACAAAAATTGCTCACATGCTATTAATGCTCGTGTCTGTATAAAAAAGATTGTCTTCTTCTACTGCTTCATTTTTACATTCACAGTTATTGCTTTATCGTTCATTGATATATTATGAGAATGAGAAACTATTGTGAATTTGTTCTAAACATGACAATTCCAGTGGTGAGCAAAATTCATACACACCTATAGGTAATTCGTGCTTTTGCAATGGTTTCCATTGCCAACCAACCGAATCAGATATCTTAGAAAGAAAAATACTAGATATAAAATAATAATACAACGTTATCTGCTTTTATCTTTCTCTTACACACAAATACACACTTTTTTAGTCATAGAGAAAAAGTGTTATATTAGCCTCTTTTTTTTCAAACTGATAGAAGATTTATTGGTGGACCCTTTTATGTCAGAGCTGTTATTCTCGAACAAGACGATGCGACTGATATCATCAACTTACTATTCTTTGAATATAATTATCGATATGTCCATAATCGACAAACGCATCTTCACCATCGTCGTCTTCAAAAAAATGTCGATTTTCTAAATGTCCAAATTGTAATGTCATTACACAATCGACACACACATTTAATGTGCGTAATTGTGGACGAAGTTTTGCTATTGCTAATAAATTCACTTCTAATATTTCATAGCCTAGAAAGAAAAGAGAAGAAATAAAAAAAGTTTGTGATTTTTTTTCCTTTCTTACCGAGTATACTGAGTTCAGTCATTTGTTTACATTGCCATGCTAACAAGACTAATGGATCTGGTTCAGAGCGAAATGGATTATGATAACGTAACGCTGGCTCGGTAATACTATCCATAACATCTAAACATTCTAATGTATTTCGATAATGAATTGATAAATAACACAACATATCGACATTTAATGATGAACAAAAGTACATGCTAAGAAAAAAGGATATGGTACAGAAACAAAATTATGAGAAACTTTTATTTACCGTAAATGTGAAAGTGGCATCTCTGGACGTAAAATCCTTGAATATTTTCGAAATGTTTCATAGGCATTTATCATATGGACGATAACACGTAAATTTGGTAAATTGGTTGATACTGTCTGCCATACAGAATCATTTATTGGAACAATATCACTGCGAAATTCACTAACATGCACAATAAGCCTAAATAAAGGAAAAGACAAATGATTTATTGCTTTGAACGAATTGATAGTATTAACCCTTACTTATTTAATGGTACACGTTCAGGCTGATAAAAACATTGTAATAAATTTTCAGTTAAATATGTTGAATCAATACTTAATGTATGTAGTGCGCGAAATGGACTAAAAACTTCACTTGTCAAATAAATATCTAAAAATGAAAAAGAAAAATTTTATCAAATATAAAATTGCGAGCAAATTTCCATTCTAATTAGAAAAGGTTTAGTAATCCAAAGAAAAAATGGCCTTATTTTAGGTCAAAATTAGAGTTTTCATAGCAAAGTTTGACCCTCTCAAATTAAAGTGCCTCAATATGTTTTTTAATACGACAGCAATCGATACTAGTTATGACATTTTTTGTCGTAAGCTGTTTGTTCATCTATTGTGAGACCAAATATAGCTAGTTCGATAGTTTTCTAGTATCACCTCTAAAAAGTAGAAATAACTATGAAAAGCACATTAAGAAAAGAAACTGACATTACTACACGACGTACAACGCACATACATCGATAAGTTCTACGTACCAGAAATGGAATGTGTTTCACTATTATTTTTAATTGAAGCAAGATGAAGTGATTTTAATGTTTGATGACGGTTTTGATTCAATATTGTAATTAAACCATCGATGCTATATAGGGCCTCACTCCAACAGCCAAATGACAATTCTTCTAACTTGTGGCTACATTCAATTACATCTTTTAATAGATGAAAGATTCTAAACAAAAATAATAAAACGATTTAATTTAGCAATCAGAATATTACTCAACACCAAAAAAAACCATTATAAAAAGACTATGATTCATACTTGTCACATAACTGTCTAGTCGGCTGTTCTTTTTCATTTAAACAAGATGAACTTGTTATTGGTCTCAATATCAATGATTTTAATTGTCTACTATATGCTAATATTTCAAATACTTGAAATATTTCTTTTAATATCAAAATTTGTGTTGGATCAAAACGTAATTCAACTAATTGTGAATATAATAAAAAATTTTGCATTTTATAACGATAGGCTGATAAATCGTATGCTCGATCAATTAATTTTAAACGCAAACGTTTTTTGGACCACATTTTTGGATGATAAAATATTTGTCGCCAATTAGTACATGTTGAAGATGCATTTAACAAATCGTTTTTAGATAATAATGTAAATATTTCGATTAAAACCACATTTGCTGAAAATAATTAAAATATAATATATGAATTAGAGAACATGAAACAATATTTAGCTAATCTCTATTAAAATACAGTAATTGACTTACGCAAATCATTCCATTGATGAACAATGTTACTATGGTTTGTATCGTACAAAACCATTATTGTGAAAAAGAAAGCAGTTGAAAAATAGAGATTTCAATGAAGAACAAAAATAAATTAGTTTTATAAAGAGAATTCAAGAAATAAAAAATAAAATGAAGTGAGATAATCTAAAATAGTAGAAATAGAATAATTTTAAGTCAGACAAGAAAGAGACGGATCAGCTCTTTTTCTATTGAACGGAATAGAAAAAACATGCTTCCCCTCAAGTCGAAGTGAGACATAAAATGTTTATCATTTTCTTCATACGTTCTCACCGCATTATTTTATTTCTCTTTCCAGCTCAGCTGATCTATCACAAACTCTATGGTATAGAATGGAAGAATATATTCAGCTGTTCAAGATAGTTATGCATGTGCAGTAATTCTACAAAGAATGATCGCTTTTCTATTGTTCAGCTTGTTTTTTTCGAAGAAAAGTTAGCAAATAGAAACTTCTTATATATATGCCCGCTGAAAATTCTCGTTTTCTCCGCTTTTGTATAATATAGTAATGAATCGATCGATCCGTCTCTCAACAGATCAGGACTAAGTACGTCCATCTGAAATAATCCATCATTACAGCGCTCTGGTTCGCTTCACTTAAAAACAGTCTATTTTCAAAGAGCTTATCAAGTTATGTAAGAAAACACCTATTCGACAGTTGATGCAGAAACCGAGAAAAATGACTTTTACCGTCCCAGCAAAATCATCGAATTTGGCACCACTCTCAATGCGAGTTAATGAGAGCCACGGTCAATTTTACGATATGTCCCCGCTTTTTTCAGCAAAGCCGTTAAGGTTCTTATTAAAGAGTGGGACAACAGTTATATTCTCTAAAACTTTCAAGGATGTTCTTTTGCTGGGAGTATAAAAGTCATTTTTCTCAGTTTCTGCATCAGCTGTCAAATCAAAAAAAGCGTTTTCTTACATAAATGGACGAACTCTTTAAAAATAGATTGTTTTAAGCGAATTAGATCAGGTCACTGTACTCTAGAGAACGTACGTGATTACTTGCTAAGTACGTGGTAAGTACTTGGAAAAAGTGGAAAGTGTTTTCAAAATTTCTCACTTTGCCATGTACTTTCAATGATAAAAATACTTGCTTTTGTTGCTAAGAAGTACTTTGTGAAAGTCCTTGGCACATAAAGGCTTTTTCATCACCCTAAACCGAAAAAAGCGTATTTAAAAACCAAAAGAGTTTTTCTGTTTGACCAAAAAACTAAAACGGGTTTTCTAGCTTTGGTAAAAACCAGAAGGGTTTTTTCCTAAACGCATTTTTTTTAGGAAAATATCATTTTTGGTTTTTCAAATAGTGAAGGATTTTTCAGTTTGAACAAAAAGTTAAAAGGGTTTTTGAAAAGAGTTAATCGAACACTTTATATTTCGGAATTCAACAAACAATTTATCTTAACGTCGGTGAACTCTTATGTACCGATTTCTATATAAAGAAAGAGTGTAAAAGAAAAACTTTTGATACGAGATCTCTCAAAATAAAGTATTTCTTACGTAAAAAAGTGTTTCTTAAGGTAATTAACATACTGATTTCGCCATGTTTTACCCGGTTTTCTCTTCTGGAACATAATGTTTTAATTCTGCTTTAGACAGGTTAGGACATCACTTCTTAAGTATCACCTCTGGTAAAAATTCGGCCTAAGACTTATGTGCTCTCTCCACTCCAGTCACAATGTCTACGAAGAAAGTTATTTTTAGTGAAGACCAGTTGTTCTGAATATGATTCATTACATAAGCTTTAATTAATATTTTGGCTTAATTTGTCTCGGAGTTGGATGCCAAGAAATTTTTTCAATATGATTTATTATTTTTCAACTCGATAGATCATAGAGGCTATTAATTTAATCACACACTCTATGGAACCATAAACAGGGCCGCAAATATCGAAAAAGTGTGAGAAGTGCGCACCTTCCGAATAATTGAAAAATTTTATTGTTTTTTGTTCAGTTTTCCAGCGAAAGACTATTAAAAAATGAGTTTTTTCACAGTACGTCTATTATATGGATTTTACTCCATGGATCATCTTTATTCGATCGACATATTCAGTTTTTACACTCCCTTAATGTTTGATCCTTATTTGCAGTACTAATCATTAATGATGATCAATTCACTAATATATCGATCTTTTGAATTAGAAACCAATTGAATAATATTAATCCGTCCGTTGTTGAAAAGATGTTAACTCTTAAATAACATCAGCTTGAAAATCAATTCATAAACAATTTTTTAGATAATCTCTCGTACATACTTTGCTCCGCTGTCGTTGAGACAAACGCGCTTCCGAACAGAGACACATGCTAAAGACCGAATCATAGTTCATAAGCCATTGTATTCGGAGTTAATTGTCTGTCAAAAAGTTTTTTGGATGCGAAACTGGTACAACTTTTTGAAGAATCGCCTTTAATTACATTTTTTACTAATAAAACTCTTGATTGTAACATGAAAATTGAAACTGTTGTGAATATAAACTTAAACATATTGAAATATGTCTGAATTGATTTTTATATTGTAAAAGGCACATTCAAGCACTCAAAACATACTCAAAAAAATACTCAGCACTCTGTTTCTTTCTCTCTTTATATATATATATACTTGAGATACAGCCTAAGCAAAAGGTTGTTTTTAGATTTATATTGTGATTATTTACGTGTTAAATGAACGAGTTGATGCTGCCGTTCATCTACAGATAGAATCTTAAAATAGTAAACGACGGAAGGATATTGAAAATAACAATTAATTGAATACTACATATTCATACTTTGTAATTAAAATTGAGAATAATTTATCAGATCACAACTCAAATAGTATCGTGAGGTAAGAATTAAAATTGATTGATTCTATTTTTATTATTAAATACTTGAGAAAAGACATCAATTTTTTGTTTATTTCAAAATTTTACCTCGAAGCAACAAGACCTAGTTTATAATTTTCATCTGATTTGATTGAAAATGATTGAATAGAAAATACAAATCATACTTTTTTTTTTTTCGTCAAATATAAAATATTAATTTGTCAAATACTAAAGTAATTGTTTGCATCTTGTGTATTTTTTTGTCCAACTGACGCCGTGTAGCGGCATGTACAGATAAATGTTTATATGCTATTTTTTCTTCGTTTAAGAGACTAATGGATTTCTGATAGCTAGTCTAAAACATTCGGGCACCAACTGATTCCATGTTCGATACAAGAGTCTTTCTCCTCATAAAAGGAGTGTACATTCAGTTGTTTTTTTGCAGACAAAATTGTATGTTTCATATATATATATATCTGCATATGTCCGTTATATTAAACTTTTTGCTCAATTATACGGTGGCTGACAGAAACAATTATCGAATATGATGATAATGGGTAATATAAAATTATTTTATTAAGGTAAATGTTAATTTTGGTAATAGACTTAGGACGAAACATCATTAACGATCTTGACAAAGATTGATCGGTGGGATTTTCGTTCGTGCGTCCATACCACTGTTCATCGTATATATAAGTTATATAGGTATGCAATTTTTCATTATCGATATCAAACAGAATAGTAGTACTTCAACTATTTATCTGTTTGTTGAATGTCGAATACAAGTTTGCTCTGTGCTTATTCACTCCTTTAAGTCAAAGAGATTTAAAGGAGAAAAGCCGTTTGATATTACAGAAAGTAAGATGTTTGCCAAACTATCGGCGAAATCTAACATTTGTCTATTTAGAGAGACAGAAGTTAATCTTAATAAGAACTTCCATCAAAAACGAGAGAATAATATATTTTCTTACAACATTACGTTTGAAGAACGAAGAGTTGATAAATGAGACGTATCTGACTTTTCAGATCTAACTAAGCTCATCGTTAGTAGATGTACTTGTGAGCGGATCCGTGTTTTACTAATGAATTTCTGCGAATATTTGGCAAGCACTTGACAAGTGTTACACAAACTTGGCAAGTATTTTCATGAAATGGCGACTTGGATAGGTACTCGACTAAGTACCTAAAAAGTATTTCTCAAATAGTGGTAGTTGGATCTTGGAAGATGCTCGAGGGTTACTTGAGCAAGTGCTTGACCATGTAATTCATATGCAAATAAAGTAAGCAAATATGGCTAACTTTCTTGGTAAGTGTTTGATGTAATTGCGAGAAATCTCAAGAATGTTTGATAAAACTTGCGGAGGTACTTGGGCAACTACTCATATACAAATACATTAACTAAGAATGTTTTTATAAAAATACATTGGATCTAAAAACAACTTGTTTTGTTGCTGAGTTTTTTCTTACACTCGACTAGTGGTCAAGACGATTCGTTTAGAATAATCGATACGACTATATTGTCTTGTTAGTTACAATTATTTAGCGTTCGTTAGTAATTGTCTAGAATCAAATACTTTTCAGTCAGTTTTATCGATCTTGTCTACACTTCAGAAAAAAATTGAGAAACTATCCAATTAAAACGCTGGAGATTTCTGTAACGATTCTGCACAGCTTGTATAATTGCAAATTTCTGTGCATCATCTCAACACATTTGTTGCAGATTGTTACAGAGAGATTATTCTTCACAAATTTTTTGTAGATTTATTATCCGTCAAAATGAAAGCGGAATTGTTTGCTAAATATATATAGAGAGAAACCGATTGTTTTCTTAAAATAAACAAATCGCCTGCGACAGATCTATGCAAAACCTGTACAGATTCTAAAGAATTGTCTAAGACAAATCTTGTCTATGTTTTCTAGTAAATCTGCTTGCTTTATTGCTGATTTGATCCAGATTTTATGCCGATTTTCCTTATAGAAAGTTCCTTTGAATAGAGTAGAGCGGAAATAATATGGTAGTGTGAAGAAGATATTATTTTTACCACGTTCTGTCAGTGAAACTGTTTTGTATCTTGTTGATTCAGCACTTGTTTCAAGAGAAAAAATCTATCCAAGTAAGTATAAGATCTTTTGCATAATGTTTTACATCCCTGCTCTAACCGATCCAAAGTGAGAGAATTCTGAAGTAGTGTAAAGTCATTGTTATCAACAGTAAAGAATATGATTTAGTATGATCTACAAGACTATGAAAACGTTGGATGCAATTAAAAAAGTGTCAATAAGAGTATTTCATGGTGAGTGTACAATTTACAATGCTTCAGAGTCTTGCCGATTATGTTTATCCATCGATTATAGAGCGTGTTTGAAATTAAACTTTTTTGCACACTAAGATATGTATGGTATACTTTTGCATTATTAATAAACGGTATTGATTGACAATGGTGAGACAACATTGCCAGAAACATATAAAAAATCGATTAGAGCATATAGGAGATCTTTTAGATATAACATAGATTACACTGAACGAGTTATACATATTTAAGATGTTTTTAAAATGAACTTTAGGATATGGTCAATTTATCTGGATAACGACTTCATTGTGAAAAGTTGAATATATTTAAATGCATGCGTTTGACATTTTTATTTCCTATGCAAAATATGTTGCAATTAAGAGTAAATAGTATTTGAAAAGTATCTCGATTTGCAAATACAAACTGTTCGGTTTTTTAATAGTTTTATAAAAACGTGTTTTTATTGCTAACTTGATACAAGTTTAGTAAAATAGCTAATGCAACAGAACGTATATGGCAAATATAGTTTCGTACTATCGAGAAATGTACATGATTGTAATGGTACCATACTAATCAACAGGATTATTGTCATAGCAAAAAAGGATTGAACGTAGGCCACTGACGAGAATGATAAATATCTAACCATGTTGACGATGTTTTCTATACATTAAAAGATGGCGTAACATAAAAATGCCATACTAATAAAGAATACTACTAGCAAGCAACAGCTTTAACATCATCAGGTGAATTTACTAGCCTTATAAGGATACAGCTTGATTTCGATATTTTTTCATATAAATGAACTTGAAAAGCCAAATACAACATCATAGTTATTTCGGATGAAACTAGTATTTAGGGAATCTCTAAAAAGAAGGATGAAAATGGACAAAATTAGACAAATTGTGCTACTGAACACTGTTTCTTGAACAAGGGTCTTGTAATAAAGTATATATATGGATGTATACAAATCTAGTAAAATTCTGCAATAATACATGTTTGAGACTAACAAATAATCTCTGCCGTTACCACCAAACGGAAAAAAGTTATTGCAATAGAAGATCGCCTTTTAAAACTTGACTTATGCGACCAAATAGAAGACAAGATTATCTTTTATTCCGGGGTAGAGGGTAGGTAAAGTTTGCAGTAAATTCAAATATTTTTCCTAGTAGTTCGTTAACTGACTTGGTACTATTCGAATAATGCAAAATATTTGAATCTGATGTCAAGTTTATTTGCATTTATTTGTAGTAGTTTCTGTTCTACGGGTAGTAATCATATCTTGATGGATAGTTCTTAGATCCTTACTATATTTGTAAACATAACTTTGCTCGAAGCAGAAAAATGATTATTGAATGATCTACGAGAGAAGAGCCCCAAGTTGCAAATCGTTTTATCGATGAAACTAAGTGGATTATATGTAATTGATGAAGCTGATTCAAAATATGAGCATCGGAGTTGCTCTTAGGCTTTTTTTGACCGGTTTTCTGAAAACTGAATCTTCAGAACCAATCCAGAAAATTTTTCTGAACCGGCCATTTTGTAGAGGACACAAAACTATGTTCCATAAGTTTTAGTTTTTCAAAATATCATTGAACAGAAATACCCAAAATGCCCAAAAGAGTGGCTAACGGAAATACTCAGAAGAGTGCCTACGCTGGTTTCGATGGAAAAATGTTACAGTAGAATACTTTGCAAGAATCATAGCACTATTCAATGATATTTTGAAAAACTAAAACTTATGAAAGATAGTTTTGTGTCCTCTACAAAATGACCGGTTCAGAAAAATTTTCTGGATTTGGTTCTGAAGATCCAGTTTTTAGAAAATCGGTCAAGAAAAGCCTAAGAGCAGCTCCAATGTTTACATTTGGAATCAGCGTTATCAATTACATATATAGTCCACTTAGTTTCATCGATAAAACGATTTGCAACTTGGGGCTCTTCCCTCGTTAGTTTACAACAATGACCTGGCGCTTGGCTAAATAATAATGTACACACACACTTTCTTCTATTGATAATTCGAATGCATTAATTATACATTAACGTCCCAATGTCCAATTCACACTACAAAAAAAATTGTGCACTAACACAGAATCGGAAATATGTGAAAGTGTGATTGTGTATCCATATGTGCAAGTGTGTTAAAAATTTGTGTGCTTTAAGTAGATGACAAATATATGTCAACGTGTGCAACTGTGTTTTAATGAGCAATTTTTCATCGTCTTTTTGTTTTGCAACTCTTACTCAATATAAGAATAATTACATAAAAGCATAAATTTTTTTCTCACTTAAAATGCTTGTAACTGTATCAGATGTTGATTTTACATCGCCACGTACAGTGGTCGTCCAATGCCGAATATGATACTGAAAGAGTTATAACGAGCAATGGACTTTAGTGGATATCGTGGAAACGCTATAGCAAGCTGATGATAGGTCGGATCAAAAAACAAATAATTTTTCAAGCGTAAGCTGACATCATAAGCTAGCGTTCACTTCTTTTTTATTAAACCTAAACAAAGGTTTCAAGTTTTCTTTGTATAATCAGCTGTGGGACTTAAAGGATTAAGTATGGACGATGATCGGTAATTGATCGTTGACTGCAAGATTTTCTTAACAGGAATAACGATAAAATGGATTAAATAGATAGACGACGGTGGTGAAAAAATTTTACGGAAGATTTCGATAAATTTTTCTTAGTGATCTAATTTCTGATAAATTACTTTTTATCAAACTTTCTCTATAATTTCGGATGTCTGTTTATACAAAGGTAAGAATTAAGCTTACAAAAATTTGCGAGGTTGCACATCTTTAGATAGATGTCTTTGACGACGACTTTTATTCTGTTTCTGAAGAAAAATGCAGATTTAGCAAATCCTATATCACATCGCTTTCAACGTGTTTTCTTTGGAAATGATATAGAAGCCGGGATGGTTTTGTTATATACCAATACGTTTCGATGATAATATGTTTCTCAAAGATACACTTTGACTGATTCAAATAAACATTATTTAAAAGATCAAACAGCATTAAAAAGATAATCACTGTATTGTATAACTGTTTTTTTTTTTCATAGTAATATTTTACAAGATTTTTCTAAATAATAGTTTGCAAATAATTAATCTCCATAGCGGTATTCATTGCCGCCAATATAAAACTCTATCAGAAATTCTAATCAATTAATTATTTTATAAAATTATTCCAATTAGAAATAGCATGTAACATCAACTCGGTTGCATTCCAATAAATAAAAGACACTTCTCTGATGAAAAAATAAAAAGCTAGAACACAACTGATAAATTTTATTAAAGATTTAGTAGAATTAATGGGCATTTAGGCAGAATGCCTTTGTCTTGTTCATTAATCTAAAATATGACTGAATAACTCATTATAACAGTTAAAATATACTAAATGATGTTTATGTATCAAAACATTTTGTCTTAGTATTCATCGGTCGATCTGGTGCGCAATTGAATGCATCTTTAAATTCATTCATATGTGTTAATGCTGTATTCAATGCTGTTTCTTCATCATAGGAGCCGAACTGAGTTAGAACTAATTGAATTAACTCCTTTCGTTTAAAGCATTGTGATTGAGCATAGGCTAGAAAAAATTGTTGATCTAATGTCGAGTTTCTTTCTAAGATCGGTAATAAGTGCTCTTTTGAATATCCTAGAGTATTAGTGCTACTAACGTAATTGTTCAGTGCCATGTGAGCCAATCTCAAAGCACCTATCTGTCGAAGAGTTATGGGTGAAAATGGTTCACCGGATAGCGTTACTGTTACCGATGTTCCACCAACATCGTAGATTAGATGTTGAACAACGTTGGTATAATAATCCGTTATACATTGACGACTTTCGCTATAAGATTTGGCAGTATTTGTTGTCCACCAATTAAAGTTTGTACCGTTTGCTAAATAAGCGTTACCTTAAGTGAAAGAAGAGAAATGGTGCATTGTAATATGTAAATACCAACTATTCACTAATTTTACCTTCATTTATATCGATTACGGAAAATACTTTTTCAGCCAATAAGACACCAAGACTTCCAAAATTGAGTGATGGTGGCCATATATGATTAACCAATGGCACTTGCATTGCAGGTGAAATGACAAATATTCTATTTAACACAGCAACATAATCAAATAATTTATTTCGTTGTTGAAATGTGTCCCAGTGGTCAAGTTTATTGGGAAATAAAATTGCATCGGATAATATCGTTCTTCGAAATTGAACAAAATTATAAGCATTTTGAAAATGAGAAGTTTGATTAACAATGAGCTAAAAATGAAAAAATATGGCATTATAATAAAAATTTTATTACAACAGATATATCGTACATTTTCATAATATTTATTGAGCTCATTATCATCCTGAGCAATGGTCGTATAACCAACGGATGTTATTAATTGGTTTGCTTTTTCCCTAGCAATTTGTTTTGTTTGTTCATCCATCCATTTGTTCTCATTGATATAATTCAATAAAGAAGCTTTTAAATATGTTAACAATGTTGATACCTAATTCAAAAAAAATAATAAAGTCAACACGTTCATACAATTTAATTTGCAAGAGAATACGTACTTCTTCTGTATTATCATGATGAAAATTGAACCGTGTATATAGACGAATCATTGCTAATGGAAATTTTTGTATTGTTTCACGCGCACAATAAGCATCGTTTGTCATATGTAGTGGATGACCATAATATTTTTCAGTGAAAATGCGATTAGCATGTACATAATGATAACTTAAATCATTGATATACGCTTGAACAAGACGCCATCGCATGTAATTATGAATTTCTCGACGACCGAGTGTACTAAAAAATAAATTTTGAACAATTGAAACATTATTATTTCATGACGTAAATACCTATTATCATTCATCATTTGTTGTAATAATTTAAATACTTCAGCGAAATATCTTGGATTTGTTACATAGACAGGCGTTGATGGTTCTAAAATACTTGCATCGGCCAATACATAATTCATTAATTCTCTAAAATCTAACTATAATATGAGACAGTAACTATAAGTTGATTATAGGAGAAGTTTATTACCAAATATAGCGCTGATACTTCTTCTAATGTTAATAAAACTTGGGACTAATTATCTAAGATGTTCAAGAAAAAAATTATCTATTTTCATTTTATTCAAGTAGTTATGTTAAATTGCATGTCATAGATGAATAATCACTTGATGTTTCTCCGATACCATTCTGAATATTTGACTCTTTAAGTAACTGAAAAAAAAAATAGATTTAATATGTTGAAGGATAAGAGAAACATATAATATTTTATACTTCAGCTAGTTTTCTTTCGATATATAGTATATCAGCAGCAATTATTTGTATACGAGTGTTTAAAGATCCATCGTGCACATTAGCATCCATCGCGAGTAAATTTAATATGGTTATAATATATTCATTATAAGCAATTCTGCGCTGAAAAATATTCACAGAATAACAGTCTTAATAAAATACTAATCCTAACAAAAATATACTCAACTTACATTATTTGATACATCATCATCTAATACATAATCTTGATATTCCATACTCAGACCATGCGGATAAAACTAGCAAATGGAAAAGCATAAACAAATAGAATATATAATAATCATACGTATAATAGACATACTTCAAGTTTATCATCTTTTATTCGCACATCGAATATTGCACGAGTACCATAACTAGCTTGGATATATGCAAATTGTTCAAATAATGTTTGCTTATTATTTATTAGTGCTGTATTATCACCACCATCAAACAGAAACCATCCATTAGCAGCAGCATTAATTAATTCAATCATTGCCTGACCACTATTACTAACTCGACCGTAGTCATCCCGACATTCTTGATAATATACCTAAGTAAAACAGTTTTATTTTATAGAAGAAAATCAATTCAAACATTATCTCTAGTATACCTTTATCTTCCATTCCCAAGATGCTTTATTGATTTCATTTACTGGTCCATCCAATAATACTTCCATTTCACTATCGATTTCATTTACAATATCACCAATTACAGTCCTTTCAACTTCAAACGATTTGTAATCTCTTGTTTTTAACCAATTTCCGCATGCGTATCGAAAAAAATTATCACAAGGTTCCACGTTCTTGTCGATAAATAAACTTTGGTGTGCTGCCGCTGCAATACAACCATTTGATACACAAAATTTACATTCTGGAGTTGGATCAGTTAAACAAGTATCTTTCACTTTATCAGGTGATATTTTAGATGTGGATTTTGGTACAGCTAATATGATAATTAAACTGACAAGTATAAGTGATAAAAGTAGAATTATCCCAAGTAAAATGTAGAATAAACGTTTAGATTGAATTCCACAGAATAGTTTAGATGATGGTCGTTTTGAGCCTACATCTTCTGTAAAAAGATTTACTGGATCTAATTTAGCCATGATATTAAAAACAAAGAGGTTAAATTTTTAACAAGTTTTTCTTATTTACTCTCGTTTTCATTTCAGTTGAAATGATAAGATAATAATATAACACATTTTTGCGTGAGACATTAAGAAGTGAGATTGAATGAAAACAAACTTTTTTTTAATTCCAATCAAAAGCTACAAATCGACGAATAATAATTTTGTAGTGTCCTATAAAATTCTTATCTAATATTGTTTATTATAGTGATAGTTATTTTCATCACAAAGAATTGTTCTCATTCTATTTCACACTTTGCATCTTGTTGATGTCACTGATTTTAAGAGCATTTAACCAGTGTAAAATATTCAACTCTGTCCAAATGGATATTGCCGTTTAGTGAATCATCCGTACACTTGTTTTTTTCTAGCTATTGTCGTACTGTGAGATTATGCTATATTACAAAGTTAATCTCTTGTTTATGTGATGATGTATTTATTCTTAATATACAAGAAGTAAAGTAAATACATTTTAAAGGTAATTTCATTGATTTTGAAACTAATAGAAAAAAACTTCGATCGGCAAAGTTGAAATTAGGCGTTTGAAATTGAGCGTTTGTCAAGCTCACTGTGAATTCAGGACAAAATTTTCTTAAAAAGTTGACATAAAATAATGTAGAGTACACGTGAGATGTCGAACAGATGCAAAAAGGCCTATAAACAATATCGAAATGATGACTCACTTCAGAATCTTGAAAAATACAAGAATAAAAAAAAAATGTTTTGAAAGTGCATATGTTAAAGAGAAACAAAAATTTTATTCTTCACTCTCTTCTCGGGTCAGCACGCCGTCTAAACGGTGGTGGTCCCTTGCAAGTGGAGCGACTGGAAAGAAAAAACCTTCTTATGTATCATCGGTAACATCTTCAAACGGAGATTTGACTAATGACCCTAAAGAGAAAGCTAAGTTGCTCAATGAATATTTCGCTTCTACTTGTACTATTGATCCTACTGTGAATGTGAAAACATTGCCCGCCTTTCAGTCTCGTACAGCATCTAAACTTAATAGTATTGAAATCTGTGAGTCTGATATTTTTAAGGTTTTATCTAAACTTGATGTGAACAAGACAGGACCACCTGAAATTGGGAATAGAATACTACGAGAGCTAGCAGAAGTGCTAACACCTTACTAAGTAAACTATTAAATCAATCCTTATCTATATGAATCCACCCTGATATGTGGAAACTAGGCCATGTTAATGCATTATTCAAATCAGAAGATGTTCACGAGAAAGGGTATTATCGACCCATCAATCTCCTTCAGTGCTTTCGAAAGTTTGCGAAAGAGTCATCATGAACTGTATGATTATTTTCTGCGAAATAATTTATTGAGTCGAGACCAGTCTGGTTGTCGCAGTGGTGATGGGACAATAAATTAACGTCATGAAATCGTCCATAAAATTAATGAGGGTTTAGATGAATGTGGTTTTGTACGTGGTGTTTTCTTGGACATTCGAAAGGCGTTTGCCATCGTATGGCACCGGAGTTTGCTTCTGAAACTTGGGAAGCATGGGGTAGGGGGCTCGGTTTTGAAGTGGTTAGAGTCTTATCTTATTGGAAGACGAATTCTCACTATGGTTTCCGGTAAAATGTCGAATGAGAGAAAAATCAATCGTGGTGTGTCCCAAGCCTCAGTCTTAGAGTCTTTGCTCTTCCTAATATTTATAAACGATATTTCTAATAACCTGAAAAATTTATGTAAACTATATGCCGATGATACCTGCTTGTATGGCAGTGGAAAAGATTTGAAGGCTTCATCTGACTTCCTCAATCGTGATTTAGCCCGCTTGTCCGAATGGTCCGCTAATTGGCTACTTGAGTTCAATGTAAATAAATGCAAATCTTTAGTTTTCACAAAATCACGACAGCTAAAAACAACAGTCTTTCCTTCGCTATTATTGAATAATAGTTTTCTCACCGAAGTTGATGAGCATGTTCATTTAGGACTTTTGTTCTCACAGGACATGCTATGGAAGAAGTACATCGACAAGTTGTGCACTAGTCAGAGTTCACTTATGGGTTTCTTGACTAGACATAAGTGATGGTTGAATAGGAAAGCTCTGAATACTTCATATCAAGCATATGGTGTGTCGGCATTAAACTGTGGCTGTACGATCTATTCTTTGACATCTGGCTATAACATTGACAGACTAGGGAAAGTTCAACATCAAGCCTGCTTGACAGTTTCCGAAGCTATGCGCACTTCTTCTCAATATAAAATTCTACATGATCTTCATTGACTTCCTCTCACTGATCATTTTCTGAAAATGAGGCTCACACTTTTTGACACATAATCGCAAGATGTGCGCCTGTATACTTAACTGAACATGTTAAGCTTGCTCTGTTGAATACCAGATAGAACACTGGATCTAACAATCGTCAGCTCTATGTTGTTGATCATTTGAAAGAGACAGCAATTAGACAAACATTTTTTACATATGTGCCACTTGAATGGAACAACCTATCTACGGAAATCTCAGCATCTACTTCTACGACAATATTCAAAACAAAATTTAATGCCTCGATTTTAAAAAATCCAAATAAAAACTATTATCTTGATGTCCCGCGACGTCTTGAAGTTTTCTTCACACAATGTCGAGTAGACTTCCCTTCATTACGCGTATTACTAAAGGAAAGAAATTTGCTAAATAACGGTGAAACGGATTTATGTGATTGTGGCCAAACCGAAAGTCTTTCTTATCACTTTCTTAATTGTGGTATATATAAAACTCAAAGAAGGGAATTGTGCGAATCGTTACTGTCTGCTGGAGCTTTTAGTCTAGATCTTGTGCTTCTGAGAATTCACAAGGATTTGGATTCGATGAAGTTGATTGCTAGTGCTGTTACAAAATACATCAAAGAAACAAATCGCTTTAATATGATTCATCCCTTGCCAAACCTATCAATTATTTTTATTTCTATATAATCGAATTCCTTCAGATTTACGTCACCGTGCTCCTACCCTCCCTCTTATTGTCATTTACCCTTACCTTTTCTTTATTTCTCTTCTTCTTTTATTGTCTTTTTTACGTCTGTTCATTCATTTGTTGATTATTTTTGTTTTCATTCTTCAGGAATATTTAGTTCATCATTTAACATTTTTTTTATTATTACTTTTATTATTATTTTGAATAAAGTTTATATAGAAAAAAAAGATGAAAAATGGATTCTGAAAGACGAATTATCAAAGTATGGAAAACAAGATGTGGCATTTGCAGAAAGAGTGATTACGCTGGTTTTTTTATACAAAAGATTACTCGTTAGAAGAAGTATGTTTTGAGCAAAACAAAACAAAATTGTATTGAAATTTTGTTTTTAATTATGACTAAAACAGAAAAATATGTATAGCTTTTATGTTCTTTTCCATTAGCATAAGAAAAGATTCAAAAAGCGACAGATGAGATCAGACTGTCATGGACCTCGAAAACGAACAAATTGTACTTTGTAAACTGGGGCTAGTTTTAGATAGCATTTGATACTTTATATATTGAGTATAATCAAATCTTGTACTATCCATTTCATAATAGAGTAGCCGACCTTAATTTAATCAATAGTACCTATTCAATCTGATTTTGTACTTAAAATCAATAATAAACATTCTCTTACTTTGGAACTTTTTACTTCCAGAAAATCTTTTCAAAAATTCAAATTAAAATATCTATTGAACTTTGAGACTTGAGTGGAAATGCAGAGGAGTGTAGGATGCTTCAAACCAATCTATCAAAGTTTAAAAAATCCATAGGTTTTTTGTATTCTGACCACCTCGTAGATTTTATCTATTGAAGTATATATACCATGGTTAGTTAAAAAATTAAACTCAGTTTTTCAGAGATACATGTGTCGTAAAAAAGAAAAGAAAAAAGAAGTATACGTTGTTGAACACTGAGAAACACAAGTCTCTATCTCTTTTTAATCAAATATTATTCAAAAAACATCCACGGCTACTCTATTGTGAAATTGATAGAAAAATTTGCATGAGAAAATCGAGTCATGAACATTGAACATCTAGATTGATGTACGGATTTATTTAAAAGTAACGCAATGTTTAGAACTATGACGTATCGCAAGTAATCGCCTTAACTATAAAAAATTGATGAAAATAGTGTATCATAAACTTGAGAATCGATAGTTCATTAAATAAATCAAACTTTCTTTTCTTTATGCAAAACCTTTGATAACGTGCCTGTACAATTAAAAAACGTTTTTATATCAGTGCCAATATTTACTTATGGTATTCAGAAATATGAAAATGTCATATTTTGTTTCACAAACACGTTGTCTTATTTCAACATAGAAATAATTTTTATACTATAACAAGCAAGTAGTATTATATACACGTTCTTTAGTTTGAACTGATCAATCAAAAGTAACTTACAATAACACATAATTTAAAAACTTCATGAATTAATCTTATATAGGTATGCACCAGTACCGATACCGGTACCAGTAAAAGTGCTCCACAAAAGTTTAAGACCTTTTTTGTTTTTGCAATAACTCAACTTCCTTGATAGATACAGACTCCGTTCTTTCGCCAAAAGAAAGCCTACGTTGAGTACTATAAGTCACATAAAAATCTTACTTCCTGAGTATTTCACGTTTCCCAATCAAGAGAATTACGCGAAAAAAATTCAAAAACACATCATTCGATAGAAAAGTTTACGGGCTATCCGTTGCTGATCAAACTTTCAGCTTTTGAGCATGTCTTCACCGCCAAAATCTTGTTTTAGTTAGAGCGGAGAAATCGAGGTTTTTCCATTTTTTGGGCCAGCCAAAAGAAGTTTTTGGCGATAAAGACATGCTCAAAAGCTGAAAGTTTGATCAGCAACGGATAGCCCATAAACTTTTCTATCAAATGATGTGTTTTTGAAATCTTTTTTCGCGCAATTCTCTTGATTAGGAAACGTGAAATACTCAGGAAGTAAGATTTTCCAATTGTGTAAAACACCACGTTTTTGCTTTAGCTCAGTCAAATTAAGCCGGAACTTAACTATTTTCTCAGGGTTTATAGTACTCAACGTAGGCTTTCTTTTGGCGAAAGAACGGAGTCTGTATTTATCAAGAAAGTTGAGTTATTGCAAAAACAAAAAAGGTCTTAGACTTTTGTGGAGCACTTTTACTGGTACCAGTACCGGTACTGGTGCATACCTAATCTTATAGTATTAAACTACGTATGAAAAGGTACATAATAATGGTGATGTTTTTCTACAACTGATTCTGACAAAAAAAAGGAGAATAATTAGTTCAAAGTATAAACATTAATAATCAGATCTGAGATAAATGTCTACGATATTTTTCTAAATTACTTACAGGCAATTCCACACTTTTGTTACCCATGTCATGTATTAGTACAATGGACGGGAGCGCATTAGAGCGAGAATGGGCCCACTTGTATTTTTTCGAAAAGTCCGAATTTATTAGAAAAGTCACATTTCTATTATTCTGTCATTCCTTAACGAAAAAAGTGAAAAAAGGGTGAAAAAAACTTTTATCATATCTTCACTACTATTTGTTAATAAATGGCACATCAAAACTTTTATATGGTCACATACTTAATGGGATACAGATTCACAAAATTTTAATTTTTTTGTGTACTTAAAAGTCAGTTTGCATCTCAGTTTATATATATTTCGATAGAGCATGAAATTCTCTACAAGATGGCTGATTCATTTTTACGATTTGTTTTAGACCCGATTTTTCTTATGGACCAGAAGTAAACCGATTAGGGAAAAATACGACATACTTCAGTTTTTACTATTTCTTACACTAGTAAAGAACCACGTACATTTTATGTCATATAACATTTTCAAGCTTCTCGAATTTTCTACAGTGTAAGCTACGTATGATATCTTAATCAGTAAGTTCAGTCCCTGTAGTCTTAAGAGTGATATCAATTTTGCTAGGAGTCTCTAGACTGGTATCAGGTGACCTAGGATAACCTCTAAGGTAAAGGAAAACATAGGTTATCGACCATACTGAATCTTGTAGCAATGTTTTTTTCCAGGAAAAGATATGTAAACCTAGTGAAACTGATTTTTGAGCAGAGATGGGCAAGTCACGACTTTTTCAGTCACAGTTAAGTTTCAGTCTTTTTTTTTGAAAATCATCAGTCTCAGTATCAAAAAAAAACCATCAGCCGTGACTCAGTCTCAGTCACGACTTAGACTTGCCCATCTCTGATTTTGAGGAAAATCTAGCAATTCAGCTATAACTAACTATACAAAAGTAAAATACTCCAGTCTCCCTCAAAATCCAACCAAACCGCTTAGAATTCTTAGGATATAATCAGAAGAGTAGATTTTATTAGTTAGAATAACAGAACAACTCTAAAATAATATATTCTCTTACGATAGATTGCTAGAAAACCTCTAAAAATACCAGTAATGGAAAAATAGACGTTATTACTTTTCTAACTCTATCAACATGTAAATCAAGGAAAAGAAAGTATTTTCTGAGTGTTTCAAGCGGTTTGGCAGTAAAAGTTATATATTATAGCAGTGAAGATATGATTTGGATGTCTTTTAATTCAATGTTTCATTTTCTATCTAGCAGTGGTCCAATGAATCTTGTCTACTTTTTTAGTCAAGAGAAATAATTAAATGACTAGTTGGATGGGGCAGCAAGATGATGACGATGGAAAAAAGTTTTTTTCACCCTTTTTTCACTTTTTTCGTTAAGGAATGACAGAGAATCATAGAAATGTGACTTTTCTAATAAATTCGATCATTGAAAATGAAAAAATACAAGTGGGCCTATTTTCGCTCTAATGTGCTCCCATCCTTTAGCATAATTTTTAAAAAGTAACTACTACATTATCTTTAGTTTTGTTTTATCCTTTTACTTTTCTTCCATCTGCATCAGTTTTACTTTTAGAAAGCCAACGTATTTCTAGAGTGTATAATTTGTAGTAACTTCGACTAAATCGAGCATGATGCAAGAGTACTTGAAACTTACTCGTTAAAAATCAATAGTGCAATTCAATAGTCTATTATTCTATCGCACTGTATAAAGTAAGTTCCGTTTTTATTAGCTTTCACACAAAAATACAATAATAATGAATCCATCAAAAAACCTACATATTTCTACCACTTTTTAATAAGCACCATTTTAATCAGGATCACTTCTCTCGTAGACTAACGAACCGAATTGATTAATATATAAACTATTAATTTTATAACTGGTAAAGATCGAATGAAGATAATAAAATATTTTCTCGTTTTAGATTTAACTCAATTAATAAGCAACCTATAGCCCCATATTACTCCATGATTTAAAAAAAAGTGTTTTCTTTTACACTATTAGTATTTGAATTTAGCAACACGTTGTAAGCATGATTCTATTCAAACGCTTAAGAACCTTAGTATTTTTCTGTTTAGTATTATTATTAATATTGTTAGTGTTCTGTTTTCGTTTAATAATTCAAAAACCATTAAAATTGACAACAAATGATGTTTATGAATATATCGATGATGTGAAAGATATATCTATTTTTGCTACTGATAATTATCATGGTCCATATAATATTTCTAAAACTATTTCATTTAAAAATATGAAGTCATGGCTTGTTCTTTATTGTATAACACATTTATTTGATTATCGATGGTTTGAAACGGGGGCATACGAATGGCATTTACAACGGATGTATGCGTTAAATAACAATAAAAAATTAACTACTGGAATAAAATCAAAAATTTTTGTTAATGATATTTTAACATATTTAAATCATCATCTTGAACAAGGTGTGATTATTGATAGTGCTCAACATTTATTTAATCCATTATTTCACCCGATGCCTCAAACAGGTTCATCACTAGATTATACTTGTACGGAAATGAAGTTAACCGACAGCTATTTACCATGTAAAACAAGAAGACCAGAAATTGTTAGTTTATCTAGTTTGACAACAACTTACACATTAACAGCTGGAATATACGATGCTTTTATCGATACATGTGGTACAATTTACACACAAATAGCTCAATTTCTAAAACGCGATTGTTCTAATTCAGTGATAACAACGAAAACTAGTCATTATAATGAACTTATTAATGTGATTAATGTCCATATGACAAATCCTACTTGTTTTGTAGTACAAATTTTACCAAAAATCATTCGACTACTTGCTGTAACACCCGAAAGTGCCTTACTATTATTACCATCAAACGTTAAAATTATAGAAGAATATGTCAATGTGTTAATTGAGCGAGGTTTAATTGATAAAAATCGAACACGATTAATTAACTATGAATCAAATAAAATTTATCATGCAAATGTTGTTTACCATTCTGAAAATGCACCGTATACTACTATCTTAGAACAATATCGCTATCATCGATCAGATATGCAACTATTACATCGAACATTGTCGAATGTTTTAGTTCAGAAAAGTCGAGATTTAATTATTATTATTAAAAGTCATACAAAAGTAGTAAGTAATTATAACAATTTAATACAAACAATAAATCAAGTAATTTTACCTGGAAATTTTGATTATTTAAAAATACAAGAATTTATAGCGAATGAAGGACATATTAATGAACATATTAAACAATTTCAACGAGCTCGTATTGTTATTGGAATACATGGTGATGAGTTAGTCAATATTATTTACTGTAAACCAGGCATACATGTAATTGAAATTGGTCATGAACAAATGTCAGATGTATATTTTCAAATAGCTACACATTCTAATCATAAATATTGGTTAGCAATAGGACATAAAGAGACTGAGGAAAAAATATTTGTTGATACTGCAGATATTAGAAACATATTGTTAAAATTATACAGTGAAATTGACAATAGATAATAGTTAAAAATTGTGACAAAATGGATTCATAATTTATTCTTACATTATGATCAACGAACATGAATGTGTTTATCAACAAAGATTTGATGAAACATATTTCCATTTGTTATTTTTAGAGCAATGGTGATGATTTAAGAATACGTAGGTGTCTGATAACTGAAAACATATGATATTGAAGTAAGCAGTATTATTTCAAGAAATATAAATTCCATTATAATATTTTGAAACATGAACTATGGATAAGATACAAAGTCATTATTTTACAAATTGAGACTTGAATAGATGAATTCAATTTTGCAGTAAACTGCAAAATATAAACTCATTAGTTAAAGACTTAATGTTAATTTTTCTGGAGTTTTTTATTTTTCGATATATAAACTCTTTAGATTCAAATTTGTTTTCTCAATTATATGATATACATGAAAGAACAGAAAATAACACTTATACCATGGTTAAATAGTAAACGCAGATAAAAGCGTGGTTAGAAATGTTCACATTAAATTTCGATAAGGATATGTAAAATATTATATAAAAAAAAACACAACAATAGATGATATTTTTTTTTTGTTCAGTTCATATCTAATAAATACATTTATATTTTATTTGACAACAAAATTGTGGGAAAAAACACGAATGAAAACAAATAACAATGATCTTTACGGAGGTTTTATTACAACTAGAAAAAGACAAGAAAAAAAATATATAGAAGAATTAATCGAGAATACATGGAAATGAAGAAACAAACAAATTTTACCTCACTGAAAAAATAATTTCCTGATGGCTGTGTTTCATGATGAATAGCTATGGAAGTACCCTGATTTAAATAAAACTTTTCCTTTTCTCTAGTTTAAATTATAAAATCACTCTATGTCTGATACCCAAGTTTTTACTGGCTTATCAGGAGCTACTATCAAATCATGAATAAATCAAATTAATTTAGTATTTCAATAATTTATGAGTCAGGCAGGAATAATGACTTTTATTATGAAACAATAAACAGGATCACTGTTAGAATCGAACAAAGGAGTTTGAAAATTATATATAGCAGAAAAACGAGTATTATATGAAAAAATTACCCTATCTACGGAATAATGTTACCATCTCTCACGATAAGAAACACAAAAAACAACAGTTTTATTGTATTTTTCTGAGTATTTTGTAATTCCTCACCATAGCATAGTTTTCAACTAGAAGAGCATGAAAAAAAAAATTCTGTGGCACGCCAATTGAAGACACAAGTGAATTACACAGTTACACAAAAAAAACACACAACCTCAATATTAAGTTTATAATTAAGTTCACCGTCGAATAAGAAGCTATTTGTTACAAACGTAAGATGACAGACAGATGTAAGAATTAAATGCCTGTTATCTGTTACTGGTTGTCAATGTACTTCGCATTTTATATAGAGAGGGTTTACTAAAACTAAAAAAAATTAAGAAGTTTAGATTTTGCATATCCAAAATCATACATAGGCACCAACATAAAATGTACATAAGCACGATCAGCATACAGAAATCGCTGTACAACATTTATGCTTTTGCTCATAGAGCTAAAAAACTAAACTCACTGACTTCCGATTTCAACCTTCCGAGAAAAAAAAGACAGAGAAGACAAGCTTTTTAATAAAAGAATTTGAAGTGAGGAAAAGAAGAATGCAATTTTGGAAATCACTGCGATATCTCTATTTTAGGCTAACATGTGACATATTTAGCATTACCGCACGCTGTTACATCTGTAAAAAGTTTTTATTCAAAAGATGTCAATTAGCATCGATCTTCGACATTCAAGTCATTGTTCAACTTTGCTGTTATTCTAGATATGATATACTATTTAAGATCTAAAGTGTATTGTTCTTTGTGTCTAAGAGACATATCACAAGAGAGCCTTATAGGCGAATTTCTAACAGATGTCTCCTGTCTAAAATATTTCATATCTGATTCATAAATAGGCTATGAAAAACTGACCTTAAAAACATTCTTTCTGACATGTCCATTGTCGCTTTTTTTACCATGAGTAACAAATATTTTATTGAATCAGAGCGGTCCCAACTAGGCATGTACCAGTTATTAACTGGTGTTGGGGCATCCGGAAGAATTGCTACAAATCAGTTATCACGATTCTGTCAGAGCTGCAAAACATCTAATTTTGTAGAAAAATGTTTGCTCTACAAAATGCATTTGTTAAAAGAATTCCAGAATCATTTCTTAGAAAACTTAGAGCATTCTAAAAGGTACTAAATCACGGAAAATTAACTGTTCGAACAGTTAATTTTCCGTGATTTAATGTATTTTTGAATACTCCGAGTTTTCTAAGAAATGATTCTGGAATTCTTTTAACAAATGCATTTTGTAGCGCA